TCAGGACATTCTTAGACTGGATGTTGCTCAGGACATTCTTAGACTAGATGTTGCTCAGGTTAAGATGGAAGTCCTCCCACATTTCACTGACGTTACCAAAGTTTTATCGTCATGAATCCTCTAGCAAATGATGAGGAATCATCATGGAGGCCCTGAAGGTAACAGCCTTGTTCCAGAGATGAATTGATCAAATTCAGATGTTTAATCAATTCAGAGATCAAATCGATTGTGATGCCAATAGGCTAGCTTGGCGATCAGTACTAAAACCTCAGTAGTCATGGTAGTCTAAATTTAACTGACCATTTCGATATCTCTCATTTTTGTTTCTGTTTTTCTTTTTCTGCCTTTTTCTGCATAGTTGTTTCAACATGTTCAGGTTGGGACCCCCCCAACCCTCTCAAACTCCCATCAAATTCTGTTTCTTCGGCCCGATAGTTTCAGTACCTAAGATCAGGATGTTGCGGTTCCTTTGTAAATCTGGAAAATGCTGAAAAGTCTTCGCAAATCATCTAGTCCATTAAGAGAACTTAAAGGCTCCAATCAAAATTGGGACCAGTGTTCTAGAGTTACTAGTAACAGTAGCATTATCTAAAACATCGTTATGTGTAGAGGTTTGATACTATGGTACCGTAAAATGTTAATAATTCTTTGTCATACATGCTTTATGTTGTGAATAGGTCAAACTTCAGCTTATTATAAAGTATCAACTAGGGTCAATGACAACATGGACTTTAATAAGTAAAAGTCATTAAATTTTAGAAATGCCCAGGGTTGTAATATTTTCAAGCAGCTACCAGACTTCAGAGATATAGTCCTATAATGTTCTAACAACATCAAAACAACTAAAGTTTATGGTCATAATATTGATGCTGTAGCAACGGGGAAGAACATATATAGCAAGGTTGCACTACTTGTAATGAGAATATATCGCAGTGATTTTCTTAGATATCCAGATGAATGATACAGGCCATGTGGACCTTTTTTTATGTCCAAGAGCAATAGAAATGTCAAGTTTGAAGTTGTAAGTATCCTGTAGTTAAATTGTTTAACCGAAGTAGCTTTTGACAGGGTATCATTGGCAGAGTGTCCATCAATAATTTGTGGGTACCAAGTTCTAACTTCCATCTGGTCTGTTACATTCTCACACCTGTTATATGTCTATCACTTTATATTACATCTACTTACAGAAACACATATGAGAAAGAAGTCAAAGCTAAGAAGGGCGTGTCAAAGACTGGCAAACATTCTGGGTCTAAGCACAAGAAACCTGAGGCCCATGTGTACATTCCTCCTATGAGACAGCAGAAAGGTACCGCTAATTCACACTTGGAGTCATGTGCTCTTTTCCACACTCTACCAGAAACATTTTGATTGATTGTCTTAAAAAAATCAGAAAAAAGATGTGTATAGATCATAATTGCCAGTTAAGGTATTTCCTCAAGCATTTGAACATATTCGGCATAAGAAAGTTGTAAATGAAACTTGTTGTAGGCCCATGAGTTTTCGTCAAAATATTGGTAATAATTTGTCAATCTTGTAATAAAGTAGAGGGTACCAATAAACTGTTTATTACCACTGTCACTGCAATGTGACTATTTGTTTCGGTGTTTTTGAAAAGAAGTATTTGGTAAAAAGCACATGTTGCAATGCATTTTATCAAATCATAGATAGTTGTTTGATATTTGAATGTTTGAAAATTTAAATTTCTAAAGAAAAAAATAATCTGAATTTCAAATGCAAAGTGTTTCACTTATTACTTTGTTTTATTTCCTTTTAAATAGGAAAATTTTATCAAGAACTATTTTTTCTTTTTTTCTAGATGAAAATTTGAAAGAAGAAATGTTTTGTTTGGAGTTTGAAGACAAAAATGGAGAAGTTTACAACTTCACGGTCTACCAGGTTCGTGATTTAAGACAGGTTTGCGTCATCGACAGCCATCAGTTTCTTTTTAGCTCGCTATTATCACTTTGGTTCATGGTCCGACTGTGGTTCTTCCTTGGGCAACTTTTGTTATTACTATTTCACAATAATTACTGGTTGAATCTTTCTCCAATATCATATGTAGGTTCCAATTGGTCCTTGGTTGTGCATGTATTATTTTGAGACTGATCATATCTTAGATTTTAACATTTGTAGTTATTTTCACTGTTTGCCATAAAGTATTGTAAAGATCTTTCTTAAATGTCACAAGCAGGTTTTTCTTCATCCTTAGTTGTACATTTTTAATTTTAGGAATGGTCACATGCCAAGTGGCCATCTAGGATATTGACTGTTAATGTTTGTTTTCTCTATTCATTAAGAAGTACTGGATGGATCTTTCCCCAATTTCAGATGTAGGTTCCCGTTGATCCTTTAATAGTTGTGTTTGTTCCTTTTTGAATCTGATACCCAGAAGAACATGTTCACCAGGTAGCTATCAGAATTTTAACAGTTAAAAATTATCCCTATTTATAATTTCTTGGAAACTTTGAGGTATTTTGTTTTAAACTTCACATATAGCTAGGTTCCTGCTGGTCCAAATTTGGGCATAGTCAATTTTGAGACTGTTTAACAAAAAAACATGCAAAAAATGCAACAAATTCACCTTTGTTGACATCACAGGTAGCATTTGTTTACTGATGTGTTTGTTTGTACATTTTACCTGTGAACTCCATGAAGTATATTGATCTTTGATTATTGACCTTTCAAAACCTTTTATTTCTCTATTTTTTCTTCCAGTGTGACAGAGCTGGGGCGGTTGCTAGAAGAATTGGTCAAGAGGCACAGTTACCTCCCTTGTTTGTGGGTGCACTGGAGGAGAGACTACAGCAAGAGTTTGAAAACCATGCCAGTCAGAACAATCCTATTTCCTGAACACTTACCAGACTAAGGGTCACTCACCAAGCCTGTCTCCACAGGTTTCTGATCAAAGGTTCTAGCATGCTAAATTGGATGATTCTGCTGTGGCCAGGGACTGGCTACACAAGTAGCCTGACCATGAGTATCAGAGCTGTCTCAGTTCAGGAACAAAGCTTGTCGGACACCAAACAGCATTGCAGTGTCGACAGATGGTCAAAGTTTGCAATTTCTTCACCTTTGTACGTTTGTCATGGACTAGTACACTTTTTTGAACTGGACTGATTCTGTTTTAGATAGACTATTAAATACACTTGACTCTATCCCTTAGCAGTGCTGTATCATGCTTCCGCTCGCTGTGCTCTTGTTTACCTTCAGATGCAGAAATATAGAGCATATCTTGGCCACTGTTATATATACGGACATTAAACTTGGTATCTAGGAACATCATGAGAAGGCACTGAACAGGACACTATAATCCCCACTTAACCTTGATGTTGAGGACCCCAAATACAGATTTCTGTGCCATATCTTATGCAAAGATTCATGTAGGGAGATCATGCTTCGTATGCTTATACCTACCATGGTCAGATGATGTGTAGCATACCAAAAAAGGATCAGTTAAACCTCTCTTCTGTATCGTTTTATATAAAAATCTTAAGGTGTGTGAACAAAGTCCCCACTTCAAATTAAATCTAGTTTCCTAATATTCCTTTATGTATTTCCATTATAATATGGCCAAACCCCTTTATATAAAGCTAACACTTTAATGGGCAAAAAGTTAGCATGATAAAATTGTTTTAGTATATCATTTTGAAGCATTCCAGAAAGTTTCCTTACTATTGTAGCCCCTGTAGGTATACTGGATAATACGAATGTTTTGTGTTGCGCATGAGCATTTTTTCAGACATCATCTACTGGGTGTATTGAATGTACAGTATCAGCACAGAGGTAAACAAGAGTAAACACCTCACCAGGTGCTGAGTAGCTGATAGATAGCTATGTTGCAGGCATAAAGGCTTTTTTGTAGAGTTTCCATACGCTAGACATGATACAGTAATAGCAGTATTTTCTTAAGGGATCATTGTGTTTACTTTTCAAGTCAAACAAAAGGAACACAGGGCCTTACCACTCACATGAGATTTATGACCTAATTAAAATGAAAAAAGATGAACAGACACTGTAAGAGGCATACTACTTTATGGCACAATAATGTTTACATCATTATGATCATACTGAAAGTTCAAAACAGACTTTCAAGACAATTGAATGGCGGCCATATTTTATTTCAAGTCTGACTCAGGACCATGCCCTAATCATTTACATGAAGTTTCAGCAGTAGAATTTGAGTTTAATTATCAAATAGGTTTTCAAAATGGCTGCAATGGTGGCCTTATTGGATTTCAAATCGACTTGACAATAAGAAGAATTTGTCAAGACCATGTTTTGTCAAAATTGCTTTCGTAGAGTTTGAGTTTAAATTCCATTTTTTTTTTTTTAATTGCTGCCATGTTGGTATTCAAATCAGGTTTAAAAAAACATTAATTGGTCAGGACCATGTGTTTATCATTTCCAATAAGTTTCAGCAAAATTGTTATACTGGTAATTTGAGCTTAAAAGAGCAGCTGATTTAGCTACTTTGTGTCTAGAATTTATGTCTGTTTTACATGCCTCACATTGAAATCGGAAATATAAATAAGTTTGTGTTCAAGGGGTTCGGATCCAAGGTCTAGTTCATTGTTTGTAAATAAAAAATCTTAATCATCACTCTACTGGCTTCATTTTCTTTCTGATTTGAATGCTACTCGATACAATTGTTCAGAACACAAAA